AAGTTCAAAGGATGTAAAATATCTGGGGTTGGATCAAGAGATTGAACCGGGTGTTGTTTTGTTTCCGGATCGGATTCTGCTTTTAAATACTCCAGTGTCTCCATATCTATTGGCTCAGTGTTCATTTCGTCAAATAGTGGTGGAGGTGTACCCATTGAACTTTCCGCATACACAATATCCTTGTTGTAACGAGGGCTTTGATATAAGGATTGACTTTTGGGTGAATTTTGTGGGGATGTTAGGCGTTCGGGAGTTTCTGGGGATTCTTCTACCAAGTCATCTGGATTAAACAGTAAAGGCGCTGGTGAACTGCGCGATTCACTTTTTAGAGATTCTCCTCGGGGAGATAAGCGTCCCAAACTACCGGACTCCAATAATGTGTCCACATGATTTATATAAGACTGTAATAAAGTTTGCGTATCCAGGCAGAGATTACGGAAATGTTTTACACCATTTAAACGCTCAAAGCAATCATGACAAATTTGCTGTGGCAATCCATCATTTGGTTTAATCTATAAATATTAATGTTATTTACGGATTTATTAAAAATGAATTGACTCACATTAAGTTTCCAAAACAATAATTCATTATACACATCTTTGAATTCCTCGCTTGCTTGGAATCCCTCGCCATCTTCAGAAAATGTAACCAGCGGCTCTACTGTAATATCAAATATGCGCTTAAACTGTAATTGCCCATCTCCATTATCAATTCGACTACAGGTGCGACAAATGCTTTCCAAAAATGTTTTGAGATCGTTGCAGATATCCGAAAATGTCAAAGACATTTTGCAAAACAAAATTTCAGAAAATATTCAACCACCGCTTTTTGTAAACGAGAATTGACGAAATAATTTTCGTCAACACTTCTAATGATGTAGTTTTTGGATGTATCTAGTACTCGGTATTTGGAAACAAAATTTCGGTAAAATTCATGTTCATTTTACATTGTTTTCCTTATGAAAGTTTATTTGGCGTATTGAGGACAAGGAATACTAAAAATCTTTAGCTTTGAAACCTTTCTTTGAAAAATGGGAATAGAAATGTTCATGAAACCAGTATCCGGGTTTTTTTTTTTAATATTCCCCTCTAAGTGTCGGTTCAGACGGAGAAACTTATGTCGCGGCAACTCGTTACTTGTGGGAGAGGGAGTGACGAGAAAGGCGGAAGGGCATCAATTTGCTCGTGCTCGGGCAACACGCTTTGTGCTATCGTTCGTCTGAGTAATTCTAGTTGGCCGTTCACAGCAGACTATAACAATTGTGTACAAAATAATTGCTCTGTGTGAACGAGAAGAGAAAAATTGCCGAAAGGAGCAACAAAAGTTTCTCCGTCTGAACTCAGTCTAATCACAGCTGATGGCCATATGTTTTTCTCGTGTTTCCTATTTTTTCGGGGTTGCCAAATATATTCAATAATTTTTGATAGTCTTTTTAATCGAATTTTATTCATATTCCTAAATTTTCTTTAACATTATCTAATTACACGCGGAAACTTTTCAACAATAAACTTTTATAAAATTTTAAACCCAATAAGGCATGTAAATATTCGGAAAGCATATTCTGATCTTAATTTAAGTAATTCACAGTATTAATATTGCACCTTAGTTAATTAAAGCTTTACATATCTTCTCTGTATCCACAAACTTCTTCATCATTTTCATCGGTGACTAAGTGGGCTTCCTGTAACAAGCCCGCTTGATACGTCTTGGATATATTTTGCTGCTTCGATGGAACATTTGGACCTTTTCCTGCATTCTGTCTGATAAAATCCACAACTAAATTGTCATCTACTACAGACATTTCCAAGCTCTTTCCCCAAGCCAGTAAAGCGAGTGGACGTTCGGGGCTTAAGGCCTGCGTGGGTGTTATTATGTGGCGATATAAACAAGCACGAAGAGTATCTTGTAACAGTTTGACTTGGCCACTGTATGCGCATGGATGATAAAGCATTACAATCGCTCCTCGAGACAATGACGAAATCCATCGTTGCGCTGGTAGATATGTATAAGAACCATATTTTGGCGGGATGGGGCGGAATGCACCGTAAGTGGGCAGCGCCGTATCGTAGTTTATTGTTTCATTAAGGCACTTTGATGGCACTACGTATGCAGGAGGTATAAAGTATTCGATCCGGAAGGCTTCCCGGTCCATATTTGGTGAATATGAAGAGCGGTTAGCTAAACAGAGATGTTCAAAAGTTTGTCGCACATCACTTGGATCATGGTCTACACCAATATTTTGCTGTAATTATATTGCTAAAGCCTATTAATAATGTTATATTAATACAACAATTTAACGTACCTTGCCATCGTCACAAATCTCCGACGCACTGAGTGTATTTTTTGCATGTTGATCCCTTAAGGTTTGTCCATTTGTATAAGGTGGGTATGGAAACCATTTGCCCTTCCACGAATCCTTGGGAAGTGGTGGGTGGGGAAACCACTTGCCCGGCCATGATTCTATTGTATATTTTGGAGCTTTAGTAGTGGTCTTGCGTTTCACAATCCGACCCCTTGCGTGAATTTCGATCGTTAATAGTAACAAATAACAAAATAATGCGCTATATTTTATCATAACTCCAACATTTATTTAGTAAAATTAAAGAGAATGGAAATGTAAAGAAAGAATTAAAATCATGCGACGTTGTAAGAATTCCACAAATGTAGTGATGTGCTGAATTTTCGGTACCCTATAATCGTTAGCCAATACTTCAAAAAATGTTGGTACGACACTTCCTTTTCCGATTCTTTACATTAAATGTGCGCCATAATATAAATTTGAAGTTTATGAAAATAGTATGTTATTTATATTTAATATAATACCGTCTAAAAATCTTGAACTTATGGCAATAACAAAATATCATTTTATCAGTTTTCATTTAGTAGATGAAAAATGCTCTGACGGACCAAAAAGCTACAATAGGATTTTGATAAGCGAGGCTCCCCTGGCCTCTGTGGGATTTTATTAGAAACCTAAACATTTTGGTACCAAGTATTGAAAGTATTGGTTACTTTTTATTTCGGTACCGAGTTTCGGTCAATACTTAAAAATTTCGACTAAGCACTTCACTAGAGAAATGAAGAATTTGTTGAGGGCGGATTTGACAATAGCTGTGTTTCCTTCCATTATCCAGCTCAGGGTCACAATCATTTCTCACGTAAACGGTCTGGATCATTCTTGTTGGCAGCACTGATTTTATACTATTAGCATGAGGAAGACGAAATTATAAAAATGAATTCACTAAATGCGGAAAAGTAAATTTAAGCGAAATTATATTCACATTAATAAATATTTACCATAAATGCGATTTATTTGAATCAAGTTAAAAGAAAAAATTGGCAGAAAATCTGTTTGTGTATAAATGCATTTGTAAGTGCTACCAAACTGTGCAGCAACACAGCGGATGATAAATTGAACCAGATCTCTATCAGGATCATATCGTTGTTGTTGCATTTGCGTACAAATTTTTTATCCGGACCGCGATCATTGCCCAAAGAAACACAGCAAATAGTTATTCCAGGTTAAATAAACAAAGGCTGAATTTCTTTATTCATTCTGAACGTTTGGAATAAACTTTTTTGTTTACTTATTCCTTAGAACGTTCCTTATGATATGTTAACGTATATTTCAAACACATTCTGTTTATTCTGGCTGTGAAATGAGATTATCCGGAATGTATAAAGAAACGCAGCCAAAAAGTGACAAAGCAAAGGTAAACAGATAAAGAAAAGAAAACAAGTAAAAAAGTCTATAAAGCTCAAATTAGTCAAGAACGTAAACCTACCGGTACGTAATCCCGAGTCAGCTGACACGTTCTGTCGCACCAGTTGAGTTATCGTGTGCACAGACGGACTGTCGAATGGGCAGACAGTCTCCGCTTAATCGATTTATTTTTTCATTCTGATCATTTATACATATATACATTTGTCTATATCTATCTCGATTCGTTTTGCCTGTTAAAAACAACCGTGAACAAACTTATAATACCCTTGTGCACAATTGCGCTCGGGTATAACAGTCAACCAAAAAAATGGGCTTAAAGCTTATGCACAAATATAATTTAAATTAAAAAAAAAAAACATTTTGTCATCCAGTTTTCATCAATATTTGTATATATAAGGTAACTTCTTGTCATAAATCAGGACTCCTTGTAATTTTAGCTGTTGTTGTTGTTGTAACAAATTAAAGATTTCTTCGTTTACAGAAGATAAGTTTTCAACTCATGCACTGCATAATTACAAAACATACTTTATTAGTTCACAGA